GTTTTTACTAATCCCATTATTTGTATAGAATTCTAACAAAGCAATCCCTTCTTGGAGACAAGGAAAAGATACTAAACTAAATCCTAAACATACTTATAGATTTGAATGGAACACTTTAATATGTACTTAATGGAAAATCTTTGCATAGTACAGTATTTGCTTATACATATAATACAAAGCATCAGAATAAAAAACATAGGGCTCAGATTTTAATAAGACCTCCATTCAAGGCCATATACATGTATATATATATTCTAAAATACTGTAGTATATAGTACATCAACCTCTTTAAGAGATCTAGTCTGATCAGCCTCTTAAAAGAGATCTATGTAGTCTTATTACAAATTCTCAAGCACCCAAAGTTATGCTTGAAGTACTTAATAAGCAAAAATTAAAAGACTACACTTGTATTGAATGATTCCATCACTTACTGCATTCCTCCCTAACTTCCTTTTTTAAGTAATTTGTTTTTATTCCTTGGATCTTTCAGTTAGTTAAAGATCAGGTACCCTGGCAAATCAATTGCATCATTTTCACTTCACAAAGGAGACAAACAGCCAGCCCAAGTCAGTCTCTCCCTTAATCCTTCCCTGACCACACAGGGCTATATGAATTGTGTGTGTTGTTGTTGTGTTAGGTTTTTTGGTTTTTTTTTGGAGACAGGGTCTCTCTCATTAGGGAGTCCAGGATAGTCAGCCTCCAGAGTGCTGGTATGACAGTCATGAGCCACCAAGCCCAGCATGCTTTTGGCAGACATTTAGTCTCTATTCTAAGTCCTCAATTCTGCTACCATAATATAAAAGTAGTCATAGACAATATCTAAACAAATGAATGTGGCTATATTCCAATACAACTAAATTGGCCTTGAAATTTAAATTTCATATAATTTTCACATGACAATTTTTCTCAACCATTTAAAAATATAATACCCATTCTTTGCTGAAAAACAGGTTGCAGGCTTGACGTGGCCTTTGAGTCATGGTTTGCTATTCTGATCCATACTACAAAATTACATCAACAAACAATTTGGCATTCCCCACAAAGCCTCAGTCCACATACATCTGCGGACTGATCCCATTTATCTCTTTCTTTCCATTCCAGAGGACTGCCTTGTCTTTGAAACACCCAGGCATCTAATTAACACTTCAAACTGTATATGCAAAGTAAAAGTGATGTGAGACTTGCTAAGATTCTCCTCCTCAGGTAACAATCACAAATAAAGGTGTATGAGTGTGAGTATGGTAATGAAAGGTATGAGGGATGTGGCAGAGGAAAAGCTCAACTGACAGAGCTCCTCCACAGACCGCAGAGACAAAACCATGAGCCCTTATGTCATTCTTGAGCATCAAAAAAGGGGGGGAGGGGACAAGATTGTTCCTCCTCAAAAGTCCTTTCCCAGAGGATGTTACTTCACCCATGCCTTCCCCAGCAGAGACGTGATACAGCAGGGGCTTCAACATTCTCTGTGGGGTAAGTAAGCCAGACTGGTAGCAAACACAGAAACACCAGCCTAAACTTTAAGGCCACCAGTCAGTCTGGTATTTTCAAGCAATCTCTTTGAAAACAGAGTTTTATTCTACTAGGTAATCAAAAACCAGCTTCTAATTGTAACTTAAAAATACGTAACATCCACTGTTTAATCCTTGGGGTATAACTCTGTCTTAGGGAAAGGTCATTACAGAGTTTAGATGCTGTTAAATTCCTAAAATAGTTCCAGTAAAAAGTCCCATGTTTTCCTGAGTTCAAAGAATTATGAAGTTAACACAGGAACCATGGGTATGGTAAACAGGACACAGCCCACACATTATATGCCAGGAGCCAGGATCGTTACAAATGTCAATACCAACTCCACACTAACAATTCATAAACCATTCCTCTGTAAGACACAGTCTTATATTTTACCTGCTGTCCAGCCATGTCCTGGAACCACCGAAATGTGTAGGACTAACTTTATCAGGAATAAAACAACCCACAATTTGGGGAACAGGGTCCCAGGAATCCAGTCTCAGAAATTAAATTCAACATGAAATGACTCTGAAGAAATTTTGCCCACTGAAATCTTCCTGTCTGACCTGTGCTTCGGTGGCATTTTCACATACACTACAAGGAGATCCACAAGACTGGACCAGCACCACATGCTATTTCGTAGAAGGAGCCCTAAAAGGCAGGACACAAGCAGGCTGCTGAGCAATCGTTCTACTGTCAGAAGACCTTGAAATGAGAGATTCCATAATTTGTGGGTTGTTTCCTAGACCATACACTACCACCATTCACTCCCTACAATTACAATCTGTAGCCTGTAACTATCCCACAGAGCTTTCCCGGTGCAAAACTCCCTAAAACACAAACATTTCAAAGTTTTCCTTTTAGACAGAAGGAAAAAGAATGTGAGAGTCACTGGAATAGGAAGGACTAAACAACTGGGTCTCTATGGCTTTGGGGGCCTAGGCCCTTCAGGCCTCTATTCAAATGGGAAAGAATCTGGCAGGATGAGTCAGGATAACAGCTGCTAGAAGGATGAGGAAGACCCACCCAAGCTGAGGGCAATTCAAAGAGGCTTTCAGACAGCTACTTAACATGTGTCTTGTGAATTTTATGTAAATTTGACGAGAAGACCACAAAAGAACTCTTTCAGGCTTCTACTCTCCCCTCTGATCTGCCAACCCTGAAAGGAAATGGGAAGCTACAAGTGATAAGTAGCATTTCCGTCACCAAGGACACTGCACTGCACTGTGCCACACATAAGATTCCCAGTACATAACTTGTGTAATCCCAAGCAGCCCCTGCCTAGCCAAGGCAAATACCACGCAGAGCAGGGAGAAGGCATTTGCTGGACTCTTTGGAGGGACAGGCACAGCACAGAGCTGCCAATTTCAAAGCCAGTCACAAAAAGCTGAGGTCATTTTACCAGTAATTCCAACACCATCACAAAATCTATGACCAGAGTGACTTCTCTGAGCAATCTATAAAGACGTTTCTAAGTCAGTAAGGTACAGTAACTGGAGTATTGGAAGTCATCAGGTCAAAAACTGCAGCACTCTGGAGGCTGAGGCAGGAGGATTGCCTCAAGTTTGAGGCCAGCCTGGGATACATAATGAGTTCAAAGACAAGCTTGAACTACATAGTGAGTCCCTCTCTCAAAAAACAAAAAGCAAACAAAAATTCCCCCCAAATTAGGTAACTAGGTGAACACTGGTTCTACCTGCCACTGTAGGGTGAGAGTGTCAGAAAGGGGAACAGAGAAACCACACAAGGAGGACATGCATCCTCGACGCCCTTCTCCATACTATAGCCAGAGAGCCTTTCAGAAAGGAAATCAAAGCATAACATCTCTCTGCTTAAAGCCCTCTGTCCTGAACTGAATCGTGTCTCTTAAAAAGATGTGTTAAGGGTAGAGGATTAGTTCAGTGGTAACCCCCAGCACTGCCAAGAAGAAAATCCTTTCAAAATATATGTTAATGCTCTAATACCTGGTACCTGTGAATGTGTCCTTATTTGGAAATAGTAACTTTGGAGCCGTAACCCAGTTAACATGAAGCCATACTGGATTAGGGTAGGCCCTAATTTAATGACTAGGGTCCTCACAGGAAGACCAAACAAATACACAGAAAAGACCTCGTGCAATGAGGCAGAGTAGAATCAGGCTGCCCCAAGCCAAAAACTACTAACAATTGTTATTAACCACCAGAAGCTAAAAGAGGCAAGGAAGGATTCTTCCCAGAGACTGGAGGAGGCATAGCTGTGTCATTTTATGCTCTCCAAATTGTGAATGAATTAATTTCTACCGTTTCAAGCCACTGCTTATGGCATTTTGTTATGACAGCCCTAGGAAGTTAACACACCCTCCAAAGACTTTAGATCTTGCTCAGAAAACCAGATCATCAGACTGGACTTCTTACTACCTTGCAGAGCTCACCTACTCCTGCCGCCTGCCATGTCACTCCTCTCCAGCCACACTAGTCTCCCTGGAGCCTCAAGCATGTCCTGAACCTTCCATCCCAGTGCCTCACCCACTGCAGGCCAGTCTTATCTCAGGGCTTTGTGGATGCCATCCCTTCTGCTGGAAGGGTCTGTTTCCCAGGAATCTACAAGTCTTATTCCCACAGTCCTCCTCTTCCAGGTCTCTGCTCAACTCATTTTATTAGTCGGCACTCCAGATTCACTAGTCCCCTTTCCCTGTTTTCTTATTCTCCACCACAGAGAAGCTGATATATATTTTATTTAACCCCCAAAAGACACATCTCCCTCCAAAACGGTAGCTCACTGAGAGAAGCACTTGACAGCTAAATCACAGTGTACTTTATTTAGTGAATGAATGAAATCTATTAGAGCAGGTGAAAGTTTACTCAAAACTGTCTAGTGTGGTCAAAAAAAGGTTTCCAAATCAAAGCAGAAGCTTCCATAAATAAAGACCAGGGTCAAGTTTGGTCTGTGAGGATATTGATAGAATATGTGTGCCAGGCTCTCCTGGGTAGAAAAGGGGAAAGTAAGCAATTCTGAACTGGCCACTTAAAATTCCTCCCTATCAAAAAAACCTAAAAACCAAAACAAAGGCTTACTTATGATTGCTGTCTCTAACCAGGCCCTAGTAGAAAGTCTGAGGGCTCTATGAGCCCCAATCTACACATAATTTCACCACTGCAGATTTCCATTTTTTTAGGGACTGAGAAGGGCCCAGCAGAAAGGTCTGAGAATGACAATCACATTGTAAACACATAAACTGCATTCTGGGAAGAAAGAAACCTCTGATCACCAAATGATCAGAATGTTTTGTTTTGTAAAAATGTTGTTTTAGAGCAAAAAGGGAATAAAAAAAAAAAAAAAAAAAAACCTTCTGAACAACCCGGGAAACTTGAAAATGCCCTTTTAGAGCAAAGAAACAATCCAAACCCGTTTCAGTGGCCGTAAATTAGTATTTTCCACCTTCTTTCAGGCACATTTTTTAAAACTTTAAAACAAAAAGAGGCAAAGAAAAAAAAAAAATCAAAGTTTTTCTTTACCTTGGGTTTTGGCCTCCGGTCTTGCCAATCCTAGTGATGAATCACAGGATTCCTTGAGAGGCAATCTGATTGGAGTTTCAGCTTCAGGAGTCTCAAAATTACCTTCAGAATCCGAGCTGCCAAGGGGGAAAAATGAGGAATTACCACTTTCAACGGTATTTCGCACGCTCTTTAAATTTTGCATCTCCACAAAGGTTGAAGTCCAGCATCTCGCCTAACTTTACAACCAGTGATCCTGGGCAGAGTCTGGCTTGCAGGTCACTGCGCTGGTTTTTTTAACGCTGCTCTCTTGGGCTCCAAGACCCTGGCTCCCTACAACCTCCATCCTCTGGACCTTTTCTCCAGCACCGTTTATTTTTGAGGTCATCTCTCCCTCTCACACCAGAAAAAAGCACCTTCACATTCCTTTTCTTACCGGACCCTCTTAAAATAAACAGTCCCACTACAAAATTCAGCTGGTTCTACCCATGCCTTTTTCCTGGTAGGCCTCTACCTGTCTGACGCTGTCTGGGCTGGAAGCTAAGAATACCGTCACCTGCCTTCCGCAATCACACGGGTGACAGCTTAGCCGAGACCATTTCTCACCAGCTGCCAGGGGCCTGTCACCATGCGACCTTCTTTACCGCGACTGTATTTTGGGGACACACAGTGGGGCCCGGGAGCGGGTGGGGGCGACTTCTCCTGGGGGGCTCTAAGTTCCACCTGGTACCTGGAGAACACCGCCCTGCGCCTGTGTGGGGCGGAGGCGGGGGAGTCGGGGCTTAGAGAAAAGTGGCCGAGGCAAACGGGGATGCGGAGGAGGCAGCTTCTGGGCTGGGTTCAGGAAGCCCTGAGCATCGGGGAAAGGAAAAGCACGGGAAGACAGGGCACTCCGAACTTCCCGATGCACAGCGGGGGCCCGGTGCCGGCAGGGAGGCAGCACGCCACGAACAGGGTTACGCGGGAGACGCACACCGAGCGGCCGCGACACCGGACGGATGAGGCGGGATGAAGGCGGGTGGCAGCCGCCGCATCTCGGCAGGGATGCTGTGTACTTGCCTGAAACTCACGGATTTGGTCTCGGCTTGAGAGTCCTCCTCCTCGGGGTCGCCCTCGGGCCCTCCGGCCTCGTCCTCTCCGGCGACCCCGCCGCGCACGGCAGACCACGTCCATTTCGCCCACTGCACGGGGGACAGAATCTGCCAAGGGCTGAAGGCCATGGGCGCGGCGGCGGCTCCGAGGGCGGGCAGGCCGGCGCGGCGGGCGCCCGTTCCCTTTCAAAATGGAGGGAAGCGGTGACA